TCTAGGAATAATTATATACCTGTCTATAAATACCAGAATATTAATTAGGGCAGTATAAATGTCTTTTAATGATCTGAAATTTGTTTCTATACTCCGGGTACATGATCAAAGCAATTTCATGCACTGTTGAATGAAGGTGTAAGTATACATATGATGTCTTCAATAATTCATGCTTGCATACACAATACCAATTCCAAAAGATCAGCCTAGTTGAATTGGGATTACTGTTAATTTTTACCGGCAGATAATTTTGGTAAACGACAAAGAAAGTCTTAACAATCTTCCACTAGTTCCAGGAATAATCGATTTTATTTCGTAAAGACAACGATAAACTTTACATGAACAAAGAGGATAGATGGGATGAAATAGGAAGTGAGGAAGCGGTGAGTTTGATTAGGATTGTCCCGCAGCTAATACTGTGGGACGTTTTAATAAAACAAAGTTTTTGTACCATCACCTGATTATAATGTTAATAGTGCATGTAATACTCAGGCTAGTGCAACTATACCTATTAAAACGAAACCAAAATTAACGCAGCGAAAAATACAACCAATCGGGCGTCTCAAGCAACGCCCGTCTTTAAAGTAAGATTAAAAACTTGATGCAAACTGAAGCACTAACAAAACATGCTCTGAATGACCACGCTTTCCGAGATTCGCATTGCGTACCAATGTTTTAAATTTTGCCCCTGGAAGTTCATTATTTCTTGTTTGATTTATGATTATATAGTTGTCACTATAGTTGCCATATCCAGTGAACATCAAATCGACACATTACACATGATCAAGTCGACTGGTGTTTCCTTTTAGCTATTATTATTAACAGTTTACAGTTATTAATAACTAACGTTCTTTTGATGTTTATAGACTAGAAATTTAACAGCAAAAATTTCCCAGCAAGATGTTCGATTTCGAAACCTGATGAAAAATCTAAATACAAGTCTGCGAACACTCTTTAACAAAAACTCTCAACCAGACTCTCAAAACAAACGCCTGGAGACGAGCCTCTCTCTCCGCCCGGGGAATGACGCATCTCGAAATTCTGAGCTAAAACGAGCGGAGCCCAATCAAGTATAAACGTTCCATACATTAAGAATTTGGGTTAGACTAGGCCTGGTTTATTCCTGTATTGTAATCACGGCTTTACAATCGTAACTCGTTAGCCTCAATATACAATGCATTACAGTATGTTAACGTATAATCTCGTTTATCTTGGAGGAATGTATGTAATTCGGAAATACACAAAACTGAAATCGCACATCGAACAGAATTAATCTAAATACGATTATACACTTACATGAAACGGTGAACGTTTGATATCTCTTGATCTTGACTCAGACCGCGTTTACCGTGAATAACATTCACTGCCCAGACAAGGCGACGATTGTCCGATGCTTTATTGCTCTTCTTTGATTCTGTTCTCTGCTTCATTACTCGCTGCTATACATATTCATGCAACTTTGTTGTTCAAATAACACCTTCCTTTCGAAGCGAGAGAGGACGAGAGATGTTTGTAAAATTTAAGTGCGTGAAACATAAATTTGCATATGGTAAACTTAGCCCTAGGTTAGGCCAAGTTCATACATCGCATTTTGGTCGCGTCGATTGAATGCAATTCAAACAATATAGATAATGAGATGGCAATGAAGCTTAAGGAGGTGTGCCATCTCATTATCTAATTTTTGAATTGCATTCGATTCAAAACGCACCTTTCTGTTCTGGTCATATTTGCTTCTATTATACAGGGTGTCTCAAAAAAACAGGAAAACTATTCAAATCACTCATTGTTAAAATTTGAATGGCGTGTTCACGAATTTTAGCCCGTGGGGATTTAATGCAACTTATAAAATGCTAAATTCGAAAAATTTGAAATTGAATATGAATAAATTTAAATCTGCCCTGTTATTGCTTCGAAAGAAAATGGTACAGCTGACCGCGGAAAAACGAATGTTTATTGTCATATTATCCCAACAGAGTGCTTTTGCATTCAAACTCTAGCAGTTACATGCATTGTCATGGGTTATTTGAATAGTTTTTGGGGTTTTTTAAGATACCCTGTATACAGGGTGAGTAAAAAAACTGACACCTTTGGAATTCAAATTAGCTGCAATATGTCTGTAATCGGCTGTAATATGACAGAAATTGTCTAAGATATCTCATGGGTATACGAAGCATATCAAATAAGTGAACCCATGCATTAATTAACCTTGAACATAAAGTTTGTTCCCTTTGGGAGTTAAAATGCATTCTAAGCTCTGTAATAAAAAAGAACGTTGAATTAATTCAATTGGTTTAAACACTTTCGCATTAACCACGTCTTGTTTATTGTACAAAATGGGAATTGTCAAATTCCAGTTATAAGTTCGCGGTTAATTTGAATATCAAAGGTGTCGGGTTTTTTTATAAATTAATTATTAAAAAAAACAACACTTAAACATGCAAGAATATTAATATTGTTCGGGTTTGCACCACAGTTCAGTTTAAATGACTATTTATTTAGCATTTTAAATGAAGGATTAAGAGCCATTTTCAATTCCCAGAGGTGCTTATCCATTGTGCTTTAGAGCTGTATTAATGTCTTGCATATTTATGTGGCTGCGTTTTTTTTGAGACACCCTGTATAACTGTCACTAATTTGCAGTGCAACGCAAAACAACTGATGGCACAACCCATGCAAAACAACGTATTTTGCCCGATTTTTCAGCTATACACGCCTTAATGGCGGGGGAGAGTCTACACTGATCTGAAGAAGGCTTTTGCCTAAGTAATTCGGCCGCCACCAGCTTCAAAGGCCCCCTCTCGTGTCATTTAATACAGATTTCTATTAGAGAACCGTAGCTTTTTACAAACGAGCTCGCTTTGAGTGGTGTTGATATAAAACGATGTCCAAGACGCTCTTCTGCTTCTGCTATGTTGTAAAGTCAAAACACTCTAATATTTTTCCTCAAATTTTTTCTCGTATGTTTGCCAAATCCGTGGCCCAGTCAGAGACGTGGACAAGGAAAAACCCGCTAAAAACTGCGGTTCTGTAATAGGAATGTATATTAAATGATACGAGAGTGGGCCTTTAAAGCTGGTGGCAACCAAATTACTTCCAGCTTCACTTTTGCCTTCTATAGATACGTTATCCCAGGCTTATTTCAGATCAGTGGAGGTCCACACGTACGACTTGACAAGTAGTCACCGCAGTCATTTCTATTCAGTGCAAAATAACGCGCGATCGGTTTTTTCTTTTCAAATGAATATAAATACAAACTCGCAAAGGTTTCAATTACAACTCGCAAATGTTCAAATAGCATGCCATTTTTTGAGACAAACCGCATACTGTTTCTGCGTAGCAGGTCGCCATGCGTCAAGGACAACAGTATGGTAACTTGTTTAGAAAGGCCATGGCTTTGGTAATGTTGCCTGATACTTGTTCCTCATGCTGTGGATCTTGTCTAATTGATGAGTCAAAAGCTCTAACTGTGGAGTCCACATCAACAATTTTGGTTGTTGAATTGACATTTGAAGGAGAATAGGGTACCAAGTCTGCGTTGGCCATGCCGGGACCACTTATACTCCTGACTGATTTCCCGAGATTTTTCCCAGACATTCAGGAATGAGACTGAGTAGAGGGAATGCATAGAAATATTCACTTCTCTATGCTATACTAAACGCATCCACGATATCGAGGCACGCGGATCAGGATACTAGAAGGCATAGCGGTCTAACTGTGTATTTAACAGCATTGGTCACCGTACGAAATAACGAGATATATAGCGCGCTTTTTTGGCCAAAAATGGAATTTTTAATAACGTGTGCAATTACGCACGCGCGGGGTCAAAACACGCATCACGTGAAACAAACACGCGTCGCTCATCCTGTTCTGATTGTTCTGATTCTTATAGCAGCGTTTATGTTTATGTTTCTCTCTGGTTTTTAGGAGTGCGTTCGAAAATAAAACTAAACAAATATCGCGAGGCTATCAATGTTTCTACGCAAGAGCGCAACTAAATATACTAGCTGTATCGAGCCATCTTTAAAAACTGCCATTCATGATCTGAAAAATGCTTCCTGGACAGGGAGCTGAAATAACATCGCTGTGCCCAAGAATATAAGCTGCTGTAATCCAAATACTTTTAGGAATACACCATTCCCAGACAACCCACCATATGATTAACGTAAATATAATTTTCCTTCAGTCTAGATGGATATAATTAGCAAGATGAATATAATAAACAATTATTGGATGAGGTTTTTGTGATATGCAGAGTTATCAAGGTCGAGGTAAGCGTTGGCGAGGCTGATATACCCAGACCTTGATAACTCTGCATTTATCACAAAAACCGAATTCAATAATTGTTTTATTATACATTTGAAGAATAGTAAACATAGTATTAACGAATGAAAAACCTTATTTAATAGCAACATCTAAAAATACATCATTATTAATACATAAATACATTCAAATGAATACCGCTTGTTGACCATCGCTGGCTCACTTGCAGATAACTCAGTTATCTACTAACAGATAACTGAATTTTGCGTGATTGCGATATTTATTTGTCAACTGTTAGCCAATCAAATTGCTTTTACTACCATAATGTATAATAATAATGATGATAATAATAATAATAATATAATCAACAAGATGAATATAATAATGGTAATAAAGATATAATGATACAATAAACAAGACGAATATATAATGATAATAATAATAATATAATAATGTAATTAATAAGATGAATATAATAATGGTAATAGTAATATAATAATAATATAATTAGCAAGATTAATATAATTAACACGAAGAATACAATAATGATAATAATAATGATAATCATTATAATATAATTAGCAAGATGAATATAATCAAGGAGATGAATATAATAAGCCTTTTTCACGATGACGTCTTTGGGGTACTTTCAATTTTCTCAAATGGGGTTAAAAAATAAAGAAAATGAAAAGCAATTTTTTTAGAATGAACAGACCATTTGAAAAATAAAATTAATCCAGTCTAAAAATAAAGACAGTCGCCGTAACGAGGTCTTCCGCTTACGATTTTGAAAATACTACCGTAGAAATGGCAGCATACTCGTCATCGTGAGAAAGGCTAATTATTATATTCATCTTGTATAAAAACACAATGTCACGAAATAATTTCATTACAATTACAGTATATAATGAAGTTATTATTACAGTATATACTAAAAATGTCTATTCGTACTGTAAAAGTAGTAGTATTAACCAAGTTGTTTAGTATATCGAAATATTACAGGGGGAAATTTAACTACGCTATACGAAAGCATCATTTGCGGAATTTTTCAAAAATGTTAAAGTCCCGGTTGACCTACTAAAATGCATTTAGCGCCAAAAGACTAACACCGGTCCGACAAACTGCATGGATAAAACCTAGCTCATTCCTGTCATGCTTATATTGCCTAGGGATATGGGCCAGGCAGCGCCTTTTATAAAAATTTGACAATTTTCCCGAAATTATCGGTTTGATCATGAAAATATTTTCTTTGCGTATTCCTGATGTGTCATTAATCTGGTATGAGACAGCCCCGATTGATCCGACTTTTTCTTGCAGAATTACAAGTTTCGACGAATAAGAGGCAGCCCCTTAGAGTTCGATCATGATGTTCTTATTCCTCACTTTTTCCACACTGACTCTGAACTATTCATTCGAATTCTAAATGGCCCGCGCTTGTTTTGAGAATTTTTAGCAGATTTTTAGCAGAAGAATTAAAACAATATGTAGGAGAGAAATCGTCCAGACCAGACGATCCATGGCATATTAATGGTTTATTTGAAGTAAAAATGCACTGAAGCATTGAAAATTTGAACAAAGCCATCCTTACTTTGATGAAATTGACAAATATGTCATTTATTTACCTTGCTATAAATGGTAATATACTAAAATCTTATCACTTACGAGCGACGTGCTTCTTTTACAATTTCAAGCGATGCATGCACAGTATAGATATCAATAGACAATTTGCAGCCATTTCGTTATAATAGACGCAACGTCGAAGATTTCAGTATATTGGAAGGTAAATAAATGACATCTCTGTCAATTTCATCAAAATTACGATAGCTTTATTTAAATTTTCAATGTTTTAGCCCCTTTTTATTTTAAGCAAACCATTCACCATTGGACTGCCATGGTAGACCTTATGTCGTGGTTTCTTTTCGGCTAAAGTTACTTTGTATCCTTGATGAGATGTCCAGATTCTGAATGAATTGTGTCCTGACTGGACTTGATAAAACGTTTCTTTGAACCCATTATTTTTTCTAAACTCGCCGGTTGATCTAAATTTGAAATTTTTCTGATTTAATGATGTTTATAGATGAAATTAAATCAAATTAAAAATCACAACAGTAATTGCTGTATTTCTCTTTCCAAATACCTTAAAACACAGGCTGACATACAAGTTCAAAAGCGCTGAGACCTCGATATGTGATATGACATATTCAAATATTCGTAGGGTTTTTCCCATTTCTTTTGAAATCGATCGTGTTTACGGTCAGTGAACATGAATCTTTTATAAATATTATAAAGGTTAGTCGTACCTTTTTTTTCCAATATTGAATCAATCAGCTTTTCGTAATCTTGTTCTGTTGTGGGTTGGGAACCAGATGCAAGAGATTCGCCATCTTCCCCGCCAACGCTGGCTCCGGCTTTAAGAAGTTTCTCGACGATGGCCACATTGCGCCACAGGGCAGCATAATATAGGGCAGAGTTTCCCTTTCCGTCACTATCATTCACATTCGCCATGTTTTTCAACAGCAGATCAACCATTTTTTCATCATTGTCTTGTGCAGCAAGATGTAAAACTGTTCGTCCTTCATAATCTTTTCCTTCTACGCCGGCTCCAGCTTCTAAAAGTTTCTCAACGATGGTGATATTGCGCCTTACGACAGCGTAATAAACCAAAGATTTTCCTCCACCATCGATACCCTTCGCATTTGCGTTATTTTTCAACAGCAGATCGATCATTTTTTCATCAGGTGCTTTTGCCGCAATGTGTAACAATGACTCTGCATCGTCATTTTGCCCTTCTACGCTGGCACCTGCTTTAATAAGTTTCTCGACCATCGTCACGATGCCCGAACGTACGGCGAAATGAAGAACTGATTCCCCCCGATTGTCGACATCTTTCACACTAACTTTGCTCTTCAACATCAGATCAACCAGTTCTTCATTACGATATCCAGCAGCAGCATGTAAAACTGTTTGTCCTTCGTTATTTTTCAAATCCACGCTGGCTCCAGCTTTAATAAGTTTCTCGGCGATGGCAACTGCGTTATTTGAGCGTCCGACGGCTGCATGATGTAAAACAGAGTTTCCTCTACTGTCGATATCGTTCACATTTCCGTTATTTTTCAAAAGCAGATCAATAATTTTTTCATCATCATATTCTGCAGCATAATGTAACGATGACTCTCCATAGTTATTTTTCCCTCCTATGTTGGCTCCAGCCTTAAAAAGTTTCGCGACAATTGCGGCATTGTTTCTACGTATGGCATTATGTAGAACGGTGTCCCCGTGTCTGTCGATACTATTCACATTTGGGTTGTTTTTCAAAAGCAGGTCAACCAGTGCTTCATTACCTCGTTTGGCGGCAAGATGTAACACTGTTTCTCCTCGGTCATTTTTCCCGTCCACGCTGGCTCCAGATTTAATAAGTTTCTCGGCGATGGCAATACTGCCCTTGTCAACTGCATAATAAAGAGCAGAGTTTCCTTCGCTATCCAGGACATTCAAATTTGCATTGCTTTTAACAAGTAAATCAAACAACTTTTCATCGCCACGTTTTGCTGCAAGATGTAGAACTGTTCTCCCTTTTGCATCTTTTAGATCTACACTAGCACCAGCCTCTAAAAGTTTCTCGGCGGCCTCAACTTTACCATACTCGAAAGCATAATGTAGAGGAGTCTTTCCTGCATCATCGCGATTGTTCACGTCCACGTCTTGCGTTAAAAGCAGATTAAACGCATCCTGCTCGAAATTAATAACTGAATGGTGTAGCATTGTTCGAGAATGGGAACTTTTTTTATGTGGCTGAAGACGTTCTACAGCTTCTGTTTTACCATGTTCCTTAGCATAATCAAGAGGCGTTTTACCATGTACGTCAATGGCGTGAATATTTGCCCCTTCATTGATCAACGTTTGAACATCGTTCTCGTAGTACATGGCGGCGTAATGCAGCGGTGTTCGATCTTCGCTGTCTTGGTCATCTACAGAAAGATTCCAACAATGTATCATCATATGTATGAGAGATTCATTTCGATATTTGAACTCTTCATGTCGCGATCGATATCTGAACTCTTCATGTCGAATAAGGAGATCGGTGGGTATATACCCAAGGTGAAAAACGGTCCTGCCATCACAATCGCGCGCGTTAATATTGGATGGCGAAAGGTATAAGAGATGTGCTACCAACTGTTTGTTTCTGACCACAGCGGCATAGTGCAAGATTGTCCTTCCGTGTTCATCACTTGTACTGATTACACGACTGTATGGACTATCATTCCTGCCGTAAGTATAACGCTCCATTTCGGTTAAATTAAGAAGCCTTTCTGTTACGCCATCCAACTTTCTGATGCTTTCCAACATCGCAAGGAACTTGAAAAAGAAAGATACCAGTTTATTTTTTCCCGTCCAGCATATATGCTTTTTAGCAAATTGCATGCTTTGTTTGCAGCCCGGTTTTTCCAATCCAGAAAGCTCAACCGGACCGCGAACGGTTTTTACAGTAAATGGGAAATGTATCAGCAGTTGATAATTTTCAATTTACGATTGCGTGCGCAATTAGTCAACATTTGTTTAATCATCAACACAGGGTAAGTAATAGATTAGGAGCTGGAACTAGTGTACCAATTTTTGCAGATGCATGCTCGGCAAGTGTTAGAGATTAGAAAGCATAAAAGTAGTATATACTACCATTTTCAGCAGTGTCCCTAAAGAAACATATTATATAGCTAAAGATCGTTCCGAAAAATTAAAAATGACCCTTAATGAATAACATTACCTCTGTTCGAGTCATGCCGGTTGTTGGTTTCCCCACTTTTACGGCTTCATCCTTGCTTTCTTGAAAAATTCTAAAATTATATATTATTATATATACCACACTGAACTTTATTCCCTGAATTCAGGAAGCGAACTTTTATCAAAATGCAGACATAGAAATAAATTTCTCTTAAGTATTGTAACCTATTACAATACGTATATGTATAATTATATGCAATCCGTTTTTCGTCAAACATGTAAATAGTATAGGTATATATAACCATGCATGGCAACTATATAGCGCGACATTTAAATTCACCTGATGAGTGTGGCACTGCTTGTTATACGAAACAAATTTGTAGTGAATAAAATCATATGAAGCAAACCAAGCTTATTGTATATATTCGATTAAAGAAATCTCAAACCATTCGTGATAGGATTTAGATGGTAGCAAGGCGCATGGTCCCGACAACATCCCAGCTCATTTGTTAAAGAAACCGCCTTGCAGATTACCCCATCACTCTGTTGGTATTCGTCCTGTGGTCTGTGGACTGGAAAATTGCAAACGTAGTTCCTGTCATCTACCAATTCGCTGCGATACCAGCTACAGCTTGCAAAACTACTACCTTCCAAAACTCGTACTTAAATAGATGTACTAGATTGTGGAATACGCCACCGAAATACTTAACAGGCAATAACACCACATTAAGTCAGTTCAAAAAGGAATTTTTTGATTACTATAAATCGTCGTTAGAACCAGTGTATATCGTTGATGAACCAAGAACATCTTTCTTGTAACAAGTTTCGTAACCTGTCCTGAGGAATATCCTTGCTTGAAAAGGGCTGTTGTAACTGGCGGAAGCTGTAGCGAGTTTTCCCTGTCATCGTGTGTCTGTACGCTGTATGTCACTTGTCTGTTCGTTTCAAGTAAATAAATAAATAAATACAACCACAACCATCGTGTGTGAGAAAATCAAAACGATGAGCGAAAAACAAGGAGAATTGCTGCAATTGTCGTAGATATGATGAATGCCCTGGAAAGTGTCTGACCAAAATTCTCGCGTTTTCAAAGCCGAAGTAACATCAACAGAAGACGGGAAGACGAAGGAATAATATTATATTGGAATGACGGCAGGAGTCTTCAAGAAACGATTTGCGAACCATAAGAAGTCTCTGAACAAAATCCACTATTCGACGGAAACATAACTCTCAAAGTATGCGTGTAATATGAAACAAAGCGAAGGAGAATTCACAATCAAGTGGTCCCTTCTAAAGCGTTTGGACCTGACGAAAAAAGCTGCAATCTTTGCCTTGAGAAAAGGCTTTTTATATTGAAATCAGGCAATGATTTATTCACTACAGATTTGACGTATTTTTATACCTTATACCTTTTATACCTTAGTATAAAAAAAAAGTTGTATACCCGTGTTTAGGATTCTCGTTCAATTTCAAAGTTTCCTTAACATCAAATTTAATCGATAAATCCTCGACCTTGACGTCATTCATTCGGAACTCCTCCAAAAGCCGTCTTTTTAGTTTTCCACATTTATAATCTTCAAGTAATGCCTGCACATGCTCGACTGAAGAGCAGTCAACAATCACAATTATGGACCCCTTTGACACTGTGCAGGAACCAAAGACAGAATGAAAAATTGAATATATCACTGCGCCGGCTATACCTAAACCAGCCCCAATTAGTAATATATCCTTGGCAGTTTTTATTTCAAATTGTAATTGGAGATTTGCTGAAAGTTTTTTTTCTTTCTCTTCATGATCGGTTGTAGCTTCTACACTAACACTCACTCGAATTCGATTGAGTAGAATCATCCATATAACAATCTAAATCAGAAAGATAATTTATATTACTTCGGGATATATGTACACTCTAAAAAAGTGTAGTAACACACATTTTTTGTTCTCAAAACAGCACACCTAAATAAAGTTTGCAAAAGACCTTGTGAGTTCTTTAACACACGAGTTAGGTGTGTTTGTTAGGTGTGCCCAGGTGTGCTAGAAAATACATCATACAATAAGAAAAATAAGACAATAGGAAAAATGCAGTAGAGTTATCCCAAGGGATTTCATTAGAGTCAACATATAAAACTACTCTTAGGCAGCTATATATAAAACAATTGCTGGCTAAATGGTTAAATGTTTATAGCTAAACCAGCTATTTTGAAAATGATAAAAGAAAATTGAAAAATATTTAAATGTTCTTGTAATCTACTGACAATGTTAAAGCACTACAGGCTTTGATAGCAACTGCACTTTATAAAGCATGACTATGTATGAATAACTTATAAGGATAGTTATCACATGACAACTATCACGTGTTAATAAGTAAATATCAATACAGCCTTCTTCTTAAGTCTATAGGATTTTGACAATTTATCCATCAATCAAGTCAATGACATTCAGAACAATCAATAAGGCTTCCAAAAGACCTTGTGTGTTCTTTAACACACGAGTTATATAGGTGTGTTTGTTAGGTGTGCACAGGTGCGCTAGAAAATACACCATACAGTAGAGTTATCCCCAAGGGGGTGTGAATCACCTGCGAGGGTACTAATTCCGCTCGGAGATTAGGAATTATACGCCCAGGTATTGTGACAGAACATAGCGAAATCCAAAGTTACCTAAATTCTATGTCATGGACGGTGAACGGTCGACGTTCCACCTTTTTGTTAGTTATGTGCATGTGCGAAATACAAGTACAAAATGGTAATCAATAACTTTTTGGTTTGCTAAGACAGAAAGTTTGTGTTTTAATCAAAACGTCAGCAATTTAACTGTCATTTCGTAAACTTATTCGTAAAAGCGTTTCATAACAACTTTGTGCGAAATAAATTGTGAAGAAATGGTAACAATAAAGTTAACGGAAAGATAAAGGATAGCAAATGACTATGAAAATCATGGATACTCAATAATGTACTCAAATCGACTTAAATACAAGATTAAACCTTGTCCTGTAACAGGAGCTAGGGTACTAATTCTGCTCGGAGATTAAGAATTACACCTCGAACCTGGGAGAGCATAGTGTAATCCAAAGTTGTCCAAATTCTATGTCATGGACACTGGACGGTCAACGTTCGACCGTTTTATAACGACTGGTAATCAACAAAATGCTCATTGGCTAAGACAGAATGTTTGTATTTCAATTTTAAAAGCGTTTCATAAACTTTGTTGAAAAATAAATAAAACGGGATAAAACGAGATAAAGAATGACAGATAACTAAAAAGAACATGAAGAAAGCAGTACGTGTAAGAGAAATAATTGATGAGCTGGAAGCTTATAAGTGTTTTAATGTAGGTAGTTTATATGTTGAGATTCTTTATAAGGATTTTGACGATGTATATATATTTATATTTAGAAAGTCCGAAGCATTTTAGAAAGTTCAAAAAAATGTACATGCATGCATACAGGGAGGGACTGTCTATATGCATGTTGCTTCTATATGCTTCTATGATATTCTTACAACATATGGCATATATCAATTTGCTATAAAGAAAGGTGTGGTCATGAATATACAGCCGGTGCGTGAGAACTACGTAACTATCCACGTCGAATTCATGCAGTTAATAATTAATTGACGCCATTTAATTTAACGCAAAGTACTGTTCCAAGACCAAAGATTTATTCTACAATCTTTTTCATGCTATCATTTGTGACGTCTAAAATTCGTTTTACTCAAAAATCATATTTCGCGACTACAAAATTATTTACTGGAAGATGCAGTGAACCGTGCAGGCGCGGATCCAGTCGAAAATCTGACAGTGTCATATAGGACTAAAAATTTTCCGGTTGGGGTTGGCGAAGGGGCTATGGACCCTGGAAAATTTCGAAATTTTAAACTCCGAAACAAACATTTTCTGAGCTTTGGTTCTACAATATTCTTCAGTGGTATTTACCGATATTTCATTCACACTCAACATAACGTGAAATTAGCATACACAAATTTTTCAAAGACTACAGCGTAAATGCAAATTTGTATCATAGTTCGATTTAAAACTTAAAAGTCTTACCTTAGAAGAACATTACGTAAAGATTTTCAGTATTTGTCTTTTGGGAAATAACAGTTTAAAAATTGTCGTTACGATTCTATATTAAACGCGAACGAGCGAAGCCTTTCTTTAGTAATATCAAATTCCATCATGTTATAGCCTGAAGAGCGATATTTCCCCTGAAATATGCTCGCTTAGATTTACTTTTGAGAAATTTCGACGGATTCATGTATTAATGCATTCGATTCAGTCAGGATGCAGCGAACAGACCAATTTAAGGTGTTATGTATGAACTATATCCGAATTCGAAGTCGAGGGCTCACGTGACAAAAGCTTGCCTTGTGATTGGTTTGCTACACTGCACCGTTTCCAAACGTTACTATATTTAGTAACAATTGAGCAATAATGTGCACGCTGACCGTGTCAAATAGTTGCTGTGATCGCAGCCTCGAATGCACGACTAGCTTCCGAACATACTCGGCACAATTCGGCAAGTTTTCGGCGAATTTTATAGTTCAGTGTTAACTGAACAATCATACTATGAAGCAAGGAATAATGATTGGGAATTTGTTCCCACTTTTAGCAATAATTGGTAATAATATGACAACGATTACGAAGGATATTACCCAAATTATTTGCTTTGACATATATTTGCTTAATTTTGGTGTGATTCAAAGAATTAATATGTACTTCTAAATAATGTTTGAATATTAGATTGCAGATGGGAAAATTCTGGATCGGAAAATCTGACCGTGGCTCGAGCCGCCTTCGATACGGTCTAGATCCGCGCCTGCCATATAGTGAGCCGAAATTATACCGTTACACGAATCGTACGCCCTTATGTTAAAAGCTTGCTCGCACTCAGACTTAATCAAATCTACCTTTTTATACATAAGGACAGATTTTGTACGATTATCAACAGTTTAACTACGTTGATGAATTACTCTTGCAGAATCACTATAAGTATAAGCATAGATTTAATACGTTCCATTATAATTAAGGAGCTGCTTGGCAGCGTTCACAAATTACTTTGAACCAAATGTGGTGAATCAACTCTCTTAGACTTAGCCAATGCCTCCCGAGCGAGAAGTTTTTCCTATCTTAGGCAGTTGCTATATCATGTTATACCAAATGGTAGATTTGATTGCGATTGTCCAGTATTTAAACTTTATATATATAGTATTTAGTTCGAGAATGCATGCCAATTCCGCCCGCAACCACCCGTTCGTGACGGTGAAAATATCGTGTTTGTTATGCAATATAAACCTTATCGAAAGTAAATATAGTGATAAACCATATACGTAACGATATACAAACTCACTCACCGTTATTTCCAATTATGTATACCAGAAAACCAGATTCTAAACGCACCTTTCTGTTATGGTCATATTTGCTTCTATTATGAACTGCCTGTTTTGCAGTCCGTAACATTTGCATGATAGCACAACCCACGCAAAACCACATATTTTCCACGATTGTTTAGCTGTATACGCCATAATTGCATGGACTCCACGACCTGGCAAGTAATCACCGCAGTGGCCGATCCGCTCGTAAGGCAGAATAAATTACTACATTGAGTTACAAATTATTATCTACCTTCATAATTATATTGGTAGATTTTTATTCAAAAATAATCTTCAGAAATGAATAACCATGCAATAGCGTTGTTAGGGTATTTTTGATTTACTATTTTGCCGTGTAATTTATTCTCCCAAACCCTGAATTCCCGCCACTGAATCGTGCCTCGATAATTAACTCGATATCAGATAATTAAACTAAACTTCAACATGCCTTTAATAGGGCAGAAAATGCCCGTTCCTATTTAAGTGCTATAATTAAGTGAATTAACTTAAATAAAAGATCTGTAATGTTTGGGAAGTATTCATCTACATTTTAAGTACTTATGGTGCGAGATATGGAGTTAAGCGTTTATATGATTTTTAAAAAGATCTTAAAAACTTTCAGTTTTCCAACGAATAATATAGAAACAAGCCACAACCAATGATCCTCATGTGAAAATGAATAGATGTATATATTCAAAAAATGAGAAATGTAGTTAAGATCATATATCTTGTGCTATATTGTTACAAACAGAGTTTGTTGCGATTTTTATTTCAGAAAATCTATGTATAGTTGCGGTCACGAGATATTGCCCTCGCGATTTAAAAAAATTCCCCGAAATACATATAATTATTGTATAGTTACGGGAACCACTGAGTATTTTAATAATTCGAATGAGTATTTCAAAATGTTTACTTTTTTATGAGTTTCTTTTGTTTTACATAGTATGGCGTATCAGTCATCGCGGGAAATTAAAGGCCAATAATATGTTGCTTTAACGTACCGCTATTCTCCAACAGTAAATTAATCAGTTTTTTGTCACCTTGCATGTTTTCTAGCCAAATGTAAAACAATTCGTCCTTCTGCATCTTTCCCGGATATGTTCGCACCACCTTTAATAAACTTGTCTATGATGGCCACATTCCCTCGAAATGAAGGACGGAGTTTCCCTTATTGTCAACATCCTTGACATTAGCGCCATACTTTACCAGCAGATCACTCCTGTTTTCCTCACCACGTTGTGCAGCAACATGCAAAACAGTTTGTCCTTCGAGATTTTCCCCGTCCAAACTGGCTCCTGCTTTAATAAGTTTCTAAGCGATAGCGACATTGCCCCGCCTGGCTGAATAATGTAGGGCGGAGTTTCCCTCACTGTCGATGTCGTTGACATTACACTTATTCTTTAAAGACATATCAACACATTTTTCATTACCACGTTCCACAGCAAGGTGTAGAAGAGTTTATCTTTCGTAATTTTTCACTTCTAAACCGGCTCCTAACTGCTTTGATAAGTTTCACGGCGTTGGCGACATTGCCAATTCCGGCAGCATAATGTAGGACGGAGTTTCCATGATTGTCAACGTGGTTTCCATTTGTGTTATTCTCAAGAAACTGATCGGTCATTTTTTACTATCACGGCTTGAAGCAATATGTGAAACTTTTTTGTTTTCTATGTTTGCTCCAACTTTTATAAGCTTCTCTTCAATGGTGACATCTCCTCGTCATGCTGCCTGATGTAAGGCAGAGAAGACTGCAAATTTCAAAGCATCCGGTTCAAGGACAAAACCTTTTTTTTTACAAACAAATGGTTTTTTGATACAATAAATTAGTGTTCAATTTCTTGTCTTACCTTATCTTAATTATGCATATGCTGTAAAAAATTATCACAACATCTCCATTAACACAACAAAATGTGCATTTGCCACATACAATTTTACCCAACTGCAGGTCTTCTGTTTATAGGGGGGAAAGCCGCGACAGCTTTGTTCCCATTAGGGAACAGCATACATCCACCATTATTTTTATTCATATACTTGAATGATAACAATTACAAAGTGTCAAACGATATACATTAAATCCAGGGGCACTTTCCTTTATACGGAAAAAATGGTCAGACCGGTCCTGTTGTATTTCGGTTTAGACAGATTACTGGTATTTTAGAGTGTTTCAAGAACTCTGTACTTAAGTGTATCGTTATTTACATCTGCTTGGCACGGAAAATATAGTTTTATCGCTATATTCTTAACGAAACCCTCTATTTCAATTTCAAATATGACCGGTCTGACCATTTTGGCCGCTTAATGGAAAGCGCCCCAGGTAACACTACAATAACTTGTGTTTTAATATCGCGAAACATCATACATGGTTAAAGTTTCTCTTCACCGCCCTTTGTCCAAGCCTACTTTTTGGGGCAATCTTTAGCCCCGTTCCCGCCACGCAAACTAATCCGAGTCAAACCCGGGTCAAATCAAATACCACGCAGTTAGTTTAAGCCCGATCACGACCTAAATTTTGAACCCTGATTTGACAGTGGCTGGGCCGAACCCAGATTGGGTGTAAACTAGCTTTAATCGAGGATTCAACCCGGGTTTATAGTCTGCGTATTGTAAACAAGGCTTTTTCCAGTTTTTCATATTTAAAAATACGTCCCTGTGGATCTTCAAATATATCCATGTACTTCCTTCCTAGAGATTTGGACTTCCTCTCTCTGTGAAAACACACAGATACAGCATGCACAGCAAAATTTGTCATTCTTGAATCAAGAAAAAAAATGCTTGCTTTGAGCAAAATTTTGCTCAAAGCAAGCAAATACATTCTTGTCCGTATAGTAAGAATATTATTCTTGCATAGAAAAATATTCTTGTTTCAAGAATAATATTCTTGGCAAGAATATTTGTTCTTGATACAAGAATATTTTCTTGATACAAGAACATTTGTTCTTGCGAGAATAACCCTAGAATGCAAGAACATTTTTACTTGTTACAAGAACATATTTCCTAAATTAAGAACAATGAGAAATACATATTCTTAAAATAAGTATAAAGGTTAAGATTATATTCTCAATTTAAGAACGGTTTTCTTGGGGGCAGGTGCGCTGATACAGAAAACAACACTTTTTTAATTCAAGGTTATTGTAGTTCTATTTAAGATTTATTAATACATTCGGTATGCTAAAAGCCCCAGAAAACAAAAACAATACTACACTAATACGAAAGGGCAGAAAGTAAATTACCCAAAGTGCATGCATGCAAGTTTCATTTAAACTATAGGGTCCAGGGGGCAGTTGTACGAAAGGCGGATAGCGCTATCCACCGGATAGTGGTTTTTTCAACCCTTTTAAACATGCCTAAAAGGCAATGAAATAAAATATTTGGAGCCGACAAAAAGAGGTCCCCTAACTTAAGATTACTAAGCTTTAATCTAGATTATGCCAAACAACGAGCAATTTTAGAGCGAATGAAAAAAACACTATCCGGTGGATAGCGCTATCCGCCTTCGTCGTACAACCGGCCTCAGGCACTCAATTCTACATTGTACTATTCAAATCATAACTAAAAAGGCCAGAGGGCTTAAGCATTCCGTTAGAAATGGCAAACGACAGGGGGAAATATGAGGCAATGATGGGAATCGTGATCTGTTCGAAGTGAATTGTATAATGATTCATTTGAGGCCGGAATGAAAATAGGATGCGAAGGAATGCCGTCCAAATTTTAAGTAAAAATCAACTCAGCCTAGATGTCTTCAAATGCGAAGCTTAAGCCCTCTATTTCTATATTATCAACATTTAAAAATCATCAGATGAGTTCTGTTTGAACTCTAGATAGTCCTGTTTTGCAGACTCAAATGAGTTATATAGGTCTGCAGGGGTGTTCATGTCTTTAAATAACAAATTGTGGAGCATCGTGAGACCTAGCTCATGGGATTTTGGATAATCCACATCAATAACATAAAACAGTCCAATTAATGCAAGGACTGCTCTCATGAGACTCTTCAATGCCACAGTAAAGATTAGCGTACCTTGGCATATCAGGTAGGCTGATGTTTTATCAAGACACAGCAAAGGCATACTCTTACCCTGTCGCCGGCTGCACACTGCTTCTGGATCCTCATGATCCTACATTGAAAAACACAATTTTGCATGAAACATTTTCATCATAAGCACTGGCTGAGTGGCTGTGTAGTATGACAATAATTAGTTATCTTACTTCTTTATCAAAGTAACAATTACCTTAATCAAATAAATAAGGTCAATTGAGCTTCTTGGCAGATTTATTCAGCTTTCCACTTCCAAACAACAAGTGCACGTTCTTCATAAGATGAACAACTTTGGCAACTATAACAATCAACATTTTTTTTTTGTCATTATGCGCAATAGGAAATGAACAATGCATTCAGCAGACACGGCACAACTTTTCAGATATGTTACATATATAAGAAATGCAGAATGACAGATTTTTAAATTTCTATACTTACCCTTTCCAGCTTCTGTAAGGCCCTTATCATCTGTTGATGATGATGATGATGATAAAGTATCATCCCCTGACAAGTCAACATGATCATCCACACAGACTACCATATCAATATTTCTCTTTTCAACCAAAGCCTTTGTTGTTGGATTAGAGTTATCAGTTGGTGTTGCCTTCTCAGTTTCCTAATAATGCAAAGTATATTAAATAATTATATAGTTTAGTCTAAAATAATATTCTCTGTCGACTCTCACTTGAAACTAAATACTTGATCATTTTAAAAGATTGTACTAAGAAACATTATTTTATACCTGAGATATTACTTTCCAGATGCGTGACCGCAGTAAAATCAATTTCATGCCATCGCCTGGAATAATTTCCTTTAATGCATCATAACACAGTTCCTTAAGATCATCATTTGTGAGGCCAACCACTGAAAATAATATACAGGTTAGAAAATATAATATGAATGAAACCTGCATTGATGTATTCCATATGGGTACAATTAAAAAATATCAGGCCAATAGTGCATTATGTTAAAGATCTGTTAGAGTGTACATTTTAGAATATAGAACTGTATAAAAATATTGTTTATTCTTGTTCTTTTAAAGTCCAATTAATGGATTAAGTAACATAACACAAGGTACATGTATCTATATGACTATATGACATTAACTGTGTAGAGGCAGGTTAGCCTGGTATTCTATATATAATTGTTCCAAACTATTCTCTATTTTTATATTCAAAAAATCCCGCCCCTCCAAACATGACAGGGGACCCCCGAATATTAAAAAATGAAGTGCTTTTATAAATTAAAAAATATAGCTTAATCAAAAAGTCTCAGCATTGTTCCATTTTCATTTATAATACCTTAGTTTATACACTCGATCGCAGATAATATACTTTACCTGTCAATTCGTAATAGAAGCAAGTAAGGTGAAAAAAACTGAAGGATTGACGGTATTAATTTATATTCGTTACCGCGGCAAATTTAAATTTGCATCGCGTTCCCGAATTCAAACATATGTATGCGACGACAATTCTTAATTATTATGACATAAAATAAGAACATATACTTACCTATTAAACTATCTGCGACGTCTTGATCAATCTCGGCGATTTTTTCGAGTAAATCTTTCGACATTTTCGTATTTTCTTGCGATAACAAACGTTGGACACCTTCACCTTTGTCGAGCGCGCTAGTAACATGAGAAGTGCGCCGCCGCACCGCCTGACCAGCGAACTCTAGTCCCAAAATGCTTTGCAGGGAGAATTTTATATTTTTGAAGTTCTCTGTGATTTTACAATTTTATAGTGAGGAATTATCCGTTCAGAATATGCTTTTAAAATGAAAAGACACCGTCCTATAAATGAAAGGCGTTGGGAGTGTAGATTGTGCAATTGTTTTCAAGCAATTTCACTACGAACGTTGCTTAATCATTATAATAAGGTTCATGGAAATGAGCCCAATTTTCAAGTAGTGTGTGGCATCGAGAATTGTCCAGCAACATTTACGAAATATAATTCGTTATACAAGCACATTACAAGATCTCATAAAGAAGTCTACGATAATAATATCGAGGATAATACCAACGTTGAATTTAACCACAACAATGAGGATAATATCGATGATATGGACGATATTGATCACCACTTCTCAGTCGACTCAGCCTCAGATGAGAGCAGTAGTGATGAAGAATTGGAATTGGAAATGAATATAGATAAGAACCAGGTACCTATATTGTTCAGCCGCAAAGGAGAGTGTTGTCATTACGAACAAACTGTGATTACAATACTCTATCATAACAAGTGCTTTGACTTTTCAAAAAACCATATTTAAGTGCTCTAGTTACCATATATGAAACATTTGCATTTAGCATGTATGAAATGCTGGCAGTTTACTTAAATGATGGCATGTTGAATATAGGCGGTGATATAAATAAAATGATAGCAGTATTCATCTGTGCTGTCAAGTGAATTATCTAAATACATGGTATCACAAAACATAACTGTAATATTACTGTGATATTAACATAACTGTGATATTATGTGCACAAACCAAGTAGTTTAGTTATTTAAGTGTAAAATAATTTATGTGGTTTTAGAATGTTGACAATATTGATATTACAAAGAGTGCTGCCTCATTCCTCTTAAAGGTGAAAGAAAGGAATAAAATACCTCAGGTGTGTATAAATATTTATTGATGAAACCTTGGTACAGAATAGTGTACCCAACCCACATCCCTATTTGCATAAACAAATGGTAAATTGCTAAACATCAATGGCCAATGAAAACTAGATAGTGCTATCCACCTGATAATGTTTTTTTATTTCTCTGAAATCACCTGTTGTTTGGTATAATTTTGAGTGAAATTTGAAGTTAAATTAAAATTGAAGCTTAAAATTAAAGCTGAACTGTGTAAAGTACATAGCATGAAACAATCTCTCCTTAAAGAGTCAAATTGTGTGGTTTTAGAAAAACTATGTACCTGAAATGCTACATATAATATGATAATACAATCAATATGTTCAGGTTGCAATGGAATCAATAATGGACAGTACACGCACACTGGTAAAGCAAGTGGTAGATTCTGTGAAAGCGGAAGTTTTAAATGTCATGGCCTTCTACCTCAATTGAAATTGTGGATGTTTACAAAGTAAGTTGGATCAAGCTTTTTGGAACAAAGTTTGCAAAGTCTGGTATTATTGCTATTGATGTTGCTGGAGACCCTGCATTGCCTGTTTTTGGAGTCATTGTGTGCATATGGTCAATTCTGGACTTTACATACTTTGATGTAGAGTTGCTTAAGACGTTATCTTTCGATGAAAAACATCAAGCTTATCACGTTTCGGAGAGTACAGAGGATGTTACTGCAATTTATCCTTATGACAGTCTAGTGGACTTTAATGTCTTTCATTGGAAGAAAGATAAAGAGAATAACAAGTATGTTACAGTGAAATATGACCTTTGTGATATAATTGAGGAGCATATTGAAGGACGAAATCCTCTTCATTTGTGACTGGTAAGAGTTTTTAAAAAATTTAAATTGTATATAGTATCTTGCATGAAACAGGCAGTCAAGACTATTAACATAAATTGTGGCACATTGTTTCAACACTATTTCACCAAATGGCACATTGTTTCAACTTGTATGTTACACAGTGAAACAAACATATGTATCCAGAACAATGTTACCAGGTATAATGTATTGTTTGTATAAAAAGCGGCAATCAGCTGCTTTCTTCTTTATGTGCAGTGGACTTAATCGCACCTATATATTACTACTAATGTTGAATCACCTTGTCATAACTATTTACTGTTTATTGAAGGGCTTATTCTAGCCAACCTATAGCATTGAGTGATTTTAGGGTTGAAACATTTTAATATTTCATCCGGAAAGTTTGAAATTAAAAATATCCATTCAAATGAATCTATTCACTGAGCTCATATATTATGAAAACGATACGTTTCAGCGATGACAATTAATGCCAAAGTGTACAGTACAATTTAGATTTGAAATGGATATTTTTATTTCAAACATTCGGGGTGAAATACAGAAAGATTTAATTGAATTGCCTTTCAAGCTGGCTCCATATAGTTATAACAAAATTCAGGTAAAAAAAACATGAAAAGAAATGGGTGACTTTCCCCAACAGTATTAGCTGAAGAAAATTCCGGGATAAGCTGATGTAAGCATAAGTGATTTGATCTGTTACTAACAATTAATAGTGTGATTTTTAGTTCATAAATAAACTAAAAAAAACATTTTCAGTTAAAATCTTCAAAATGCCTTAATGCTATCCTAATAACGTTTGAACGTCTTTAAATGTTAAGTGTCTGACTTTTAATAAACTGTATCGAGCCACTTCTAATAAAAATTAAGTAATAGGTAGAACTAATTTACTAGATTTAAGAATGAGAATAAATTTGTTCCAACATTGTTCTTGTTTCAAGGATATTATTCCTGTCGTATTCTTATTTTAAGAACTTTATATTCTCCCCAAATTTACTTGATTCTTGTTTCAAGAATGTTGCAATTCTTGCGAGAATATTATTCTTGTTATATTCGTATTTTAAGAATTTTATATTCTCTCCAAATTTACTTGATTCTTGTTTCAAGAATGTTACATTTCTAGCAAGAATATAATTCTTGTCTCGAATTTATTTGTCTTATTTTAAGAGAAATAATTCTAGGCAGAAATATTCTTACTTGTTTCAAGAATTTTAAATTGTTGCTAAGAATAGTATTGCTCAAATTAAGTATTGTTTTACTTAAAACAAGAATTTTGCAAGAATATTTTTCTTGCAAGAATTTCCAATTTTGCTGTGTGGTGATAAAAAGTCTGAGTCCAGTCGATAATTATTCTTATATTACGATAATTTACAATAAATGATATCTTGTGAGTTGGAGATTGGATATTTTGATCTGAACTTGCGCATTTTAAGATAGCAATGCCTCCCATGCATAGATTTCTCCTTAATTCTCATGGTATTTGAGTTGAATAAGAGATGCGTATTAGTCTTTCTCTGGACCAAAGATGGCAAAGAGAGGGCCAACAATGATGAGATGTTTCAAAAAATTGAGAGATATTGAGATGAGGTTATATGTGTCGAATGAAAAGTTGGAAACGTTTTGTGAGTCAAGTTCGTATTCAATTTAATGAAAATCTGCGAGACTAAGGGTTACTCCTGCAAAGGAAAATGGAAAGAAAATAGAAGGAAAATCAGTGGACTGTCCTTAATAAATGGTAGAATAGAGTTGAACCAGCAGGATATAACACAAATCGCCACTGTTCTAATATTCTGTATGACCTCTTTTACGTTTCAAAACAGTTTGACTTTTGTTGGATAGAGTGAACCAGTTTTGTTAGCATCACTGATTCAATTCTATTCCACCATTGATTAATGACCGTCCATGGACTGTTTTCGTAAGGGGACTCGTTTTTATCTCCAACTCACAAGATATCATTTATAGTAAATTACCGTAATATAAGAAAAATTATCGACTGGACTCAGACTTTTGATCACCAATGTATAGATACATTAACCTAATGCTCGCGAACTGACATTCTATTTATAAGAATCATGTATTAAACTATTTCTGAAATAAAACCTAAATTATCATGCTAAACATTAAAACTAAAAATAAAATGAGGGGAATTTCAATAAAAATGTTGAATACTAATCTCTTGTATTCGGTTACTTGTATTTCAACTAAATTAAGCAAGAAAGAAACGATATCTTCAGTCTCGTAACTCGCGCAGCCAAATAGCTCATTCAGTTCCACCATCTTTGGCAACACTTCAAGTAATTAATACATTTCACGGTGTAGAAAAACTATCTTGTGGAATGTAAATATATAAACATCAACAACCCATTTAGGAATCTGAAAATAGGAGATAGATATAAATATGAAGTAAGTTAAGTTAAAACGTTCTTCATGCATGAGCATTGGAATGAGAGAAAAGGAGAAGATGTTGTAATTAGGACAGCCATGTGAAACGACAGGCCATTGGATTTCACAGTTATTTTCTCAGCTGCGCCCTAGTGGTATAACTGGTGCATCTTGCGGGATAACCAATCATTCAAAGTGGGGGAATAAGTGTATAAACTCTGACATACGATTAAATAACACACCTCAACGATAATCACATAACCATTATAAGCTTCTCCACTTCCCGGTTAAAATTGGTTCCATCAAATAAAGCAGACCAATTTCCTCCAAGCAGCAAGCTAGTTTTTCGCGTGAGAAATCTTTGCTACGATTGAAAATCGATAACATTTTCTCAGCTTGACTGCAGACGTCATTGTATTTATTTTCACTACGAATGATAATCCTGTCTTCTGTGGCTATGTCTAAAAGACCAGCAAGCCTCATCCAGTCCTCAACAATGCATCGACTAATTCTGTATGACTCTCGTGAAGAAAGACGTGTCTTATCTAGTTGTTTGTTCTCGGAGTCTTGAGTTTCTGACGATCCGGTTTCTACGGCTTCCGTTTGAATCTGAAGAAAACGATACTTCACGATTAGTCCATCATGCCCGCCACAGCGATCCACCGATATTATGCTTGCATGCAGTTACGAGCGAGTGGTATAATTGTTTTATAACATAAAAAATAGATAAAATAGCAAAAAGACAACACGAATCTATAACTGTGCAACGGTTGCACAAAGTGTGAGTTTGATACCTTGAGCATTTCCTATTGGATCGTGACAACCGAGCTTCGAAATAGAAAAAAAAACGCGACGAAAACGGCTGGAAAACGATTCCGGAAGCTATTAATTAACCATTCACGTAACTGACCATGCCCCATTCATAATAATTTACAAACATTCAAGGGTAACTGTGTATAATTCGACTAGTATATGCTTATTTCTTCTTTAGTACGGAAAACGTGACTGACTTTAAAAGGCTAAAAACTGAATCACACTTTCACTTGCAAGAAAATGTGCTCTTTAAAGAGAGCGCGCTTTCGTATGTTGAATATGGATGATCACTTTTGATACGTGAAATATTTTGAGAATTGTAATACCTCGTTCTCCATTGGAAGCATTATATCTATCAAATCTTGTCGCTTTAATTCATTGAAGCACTTCTCCAAAATATGACGATCAAAGAACTGGCTATTAATAAAGATCAGGAGAACTTTCTCGGCTTTTGAGAAAAAATCTAGGTAATTGAATCTGATATTCTCGCGCTCATAGTACGGAATATCCAGGAGTCCAGCTAGACTGTCCCATTCCAATCCAAGTCTGCAGCTTATCCGACTTATTTCAGCGTTCGTGAGCTTCGTCGTTTGATATACAACTAAGTAAAAGAAATGGTTATCAAGTTCACTAGATGCAACTTTAAATGTTTCTTACAACCAAATGTTTCTTGTTTCTTGCCACAAATATTGATTCTTTCCATATTTCTGGAGACCAGAAAAACTCACGAAAATTTGATAACTGGAAACATTTCCACTTCTGTTAGATCCTTGTTTTATGTTTATTCAATTTTACAAAAATTACCCCTAACAAAATTGCAGACAACTTTCTTTCATCATACAGTTTAAAATTTATATAAAAGCCTCTCGTGTGTTTCTCATATCAATGCAATTAACTGATGACATTAATTTTCGCTGATGTAACCACTTTTTTGGACAATAAACGCAACATGTAAAGAAGTTATCGTCATGCAACACTGCACATTCAGGTATTCGTTCCGTTTCTGAGCTTTGAACTAGAATGTAAAATTCAAAACAAATAACTAGAATGTATAAAAGTGTATTTTATAATGAGGCGTGTTCAAAACAGCAGAATTCAGCAACAAGAAAATTTGTTGTTGATATATCCTGTAACAATCATAGCCAAAAGAAATAAATATCAAGATATAATACAACCTTTTTCAAATTGATGTCAAACGCGGAAAGTCTGATGTTACACGAAGTTTGATTGGCTCGATAGCTTTGTGGAGTCAATCAAATTTCGTGTAACATCCGACTTTCCGCGTTTGACGTCATTATAAGAAAGGTCTATCATACATTGACTCATGCATTCAATATTTCACTTCACACTTCATTAATGAAATTAGAAGGACTGTGACGGAATATTGTGGAGTGGGAATTCGAACTGTAAATTGTTTTTGACCTCACATGTCAATTAGGATTTTCTATATCATTATGAATGACTTTTTAATTACACGTTGCCTAAAGAATTCATTGACATTTAGTTTTTGAATAATTTCCTAAATATTTTTCAAAAAAAATTTAAAAACCTACCATGAGTTTCCTCCTCTCTTACATTCAATTTCGATAACAACACATCTTCGATCTCTTCTCTTATCTCAACATTTCCATCTACTGGACCCTCTAATGAAATTAACAAAATTGCGGACAACTTTCTTATCATACAGTTTATAATTTATATAAAAGCCTCTCGTGTGTTTCTCATTTCAATGCAATTAACTGATGACATTAATTTTCGCTGATGTAACCACTTTTTTGGACAATAAACGCAATATGTAAAGAAGTTATCGTCATGCAACACTGCACCTTCAGGTATTCGTTCCGTTTCTGAGCTTTGAACTAGAATGTAAAATTCAAAACAAATAACTAGAATGTATAAAAGTGTATTTTATAATGAGGCGTGTTCAAAACAGCAGAATTCAGCAACAAGAAAATTTGTTGTGGATATATCCTGTAACAATCATAGCCAAAAGAAATAAATATCAAGATATAATACAACCTTTTTCAAATTGATGTCAAACGCGGAAAGTCTGATGTTACACGAAGTTTGATTGGCTCGATAGCTTTGTGGAGTCAATCAAATTTCGTGTAACATCCGACTTTCCGCGTTTGACGTCATTATAAGAAAGGTCTATCATACATTGACTCATGCATTCAATATTTCACTTCACACTTCATTAATGAAATTAGAAGGACTGTGACGGAATATTGTGGAGTGGGAATTCGAACTGTAAATTGTTTTTGACCTCACATGTCAATTAGGATTTTCTATATCATTATGAATGAAATTTTAATTACACGTTGCCTAAAGAATTCATTGATATTTAGTTTTTGAATAATTTCCTAATTATTTTTCAAAAAAAATTTAAAAACCTACCATGAGTTTCCTCCTCTCTTACAGTCAATTTCCATAACAACACATCTTCGATTTCTTCTCTTATCTCAACATTTCCATCTACTGGACCAGCTAATGCAACTCCTGAAATATTGTTGATCGCATAAACATAACCATCAGAATCCAGTAAGATTTGATTAATCTTGAATGAATCTTGGTTGCTCTCGACTCCAAGGAAATTTATACATATTTGAAGACGGCGGTCAGTGTTAACACGCGTCAAACTTCCTTTCTCCCCTATGAGGTATCCTTCGTCAAAATGATCCTTCAACTGTTTAATATCTTCTTCGTCATTGACGTCAACAAACTCGCTGATTAGGACAACAGCAATATCTATAGCTGCCATTGACCGTTGTCTGCGATACAAGACATAGGCACGACAAACGAACGAGTAGTTGTAATGACATTGGATTCGAGCGAACATTCCACGTATCGTTAAAAAAATATCAGAGACGACAGAGAAGCCGTTTATTTTTGCAATTAAAACTTCCTTGTCTTCATCGCTGTTGATATCATGGGTCATCACGTTCCACACCATCTTTTGCTGATTGTCATTGTAAGAGCCATGAAGAATAAAATGCTTAGAATTGAAAACAGTCCATTTTGATCTGATTAAAAGAACTGCTGGTTTTAGGAATTTCAAGCCGCGGGGAAGAAGTTCGACAGCACGTTGCCTCGCAACAGGCAAACGTAATCTTTGCAACGAGTTTGGGATGAAATCTCGCGGGTCTTTTTTAGCTAGAGTTATCTTTGTGTCCTCAGTTAGAGAACCAGCTGGTATTTCAAGAGTGACTTCATCTAACTGGATTACACCTCCGCTCGGACCAATGGTAGCTAATTTATCTAAAACAAGGTGTAAATTAACATGTACTTAAATAAAGCAGTGTATTTAGTTTTTCTTTAGAAACACATCTTCACGGGTCATGAATCAACACTTGTTATTAGTTTGTGAAATTGATTCAGAAATTGATTTAGACCGAGAAGAAAACGGGTATGATAAATATATTAATATTTCATGTTGTAAGCCATCATTTTATCTCCCCGCATTTGCTCCATAAAACATAATTAATTAGATTGCAAGGAAAGCTACGATTTTGCCCACTGCCCATTTTTTAAAATTAAATTTTCACGCTTGATTTTCTTTTAAGATGCGTGATCTTTTTTCACCTTTACCCTATTTTCGCACATGCTGCGAATAGGATGCCAACAGAATTTGCCATTCGTTCACATTTCTAGAACATCAAGTTAAAAGTTAAAAAAGTAAAAAAAGAACCCATCGTGTGATCAGAACAGAAAACCATTTATTTTTTTACAAATCAGCAGCGGCGGGAATCCTAGCCTTTCCTGCAATCTGATTGGCTGTAGCAGCGGGCGGAATTTTACAATATCTGACCACTATCCGGAATCCTATATTTTATTCTCGAGCAAAAGCGTGTTTGTTTTGCTTTTAAAAGATTTATTCGCAAACTTTTGAGTCTGGCTACACAATTGTAATACGCCCTCTTGATTTACATGCAGTATAACGTGCAATATAAATAGTACCTTTGAGCGAAAGACGTTCAATTCCTTCTTCTATCCTCTGGATAATATCATGCTTTCGATGCAAATTAACGGCACATCTTAATGCTGTTCGCCCACGATGATCTTCAAAGGTGGGATTTGCTTCGTGTTCAAGAAGTAATTTAATAACCTCATCCTGACTTAGCATTACAGCAAGGTGCAATGGTGTGAGATTTTTCTTATTCCTAATGTTGACATCAGCCCCTGCCTCAACAAGGATTCTAGCAGCATCAGCATACCCTAAACTCACAGCGAGGTGCAATGATGTTTCACCTTCATCATCGCAATCACTTAAAAAGACGCCACATTTGACTAGAATTTTGAGAACGTCGATTTTATTTTCCCACACAGCAATGTGTAACAATGTCCTTCCTTTCTCCTCCTTTATTAAAGGTGCTTTCGCTCCTGCTTTTGCAAGCATGAAAGCTAACTTATGGTTAGCTGTCTCAAAACTCTTCTTTAGAGCGAAGTATAAAGCAGATTTGCCTCTATAGTCTAGATTGTTCACATTTACGTTATACTTTAATAAAAAGTCAAGCATTCTTTCATCATCACGTTGTACAGCAAGATGCAAAACTGTTTGTCCTTTGTCATTTTTTGCTTTTACACTGAGTCCAGCTTTAATGAGTTTCTCAGCGATGGCGACATTGCCTCCATTGACAGCGGAATGTAGGATAGAGTTTCTTTTACTGTCTATTTGCTTTACATCAGCGTTATTTTTTAAGAGCAGATCAGCCAGTATTTCATTGCCATATTTTGCAGCAAGATGTAACACTGTTTGTCCTTCGTTATTTATGCCCTCTACGCTGGCTCCAGCTTTAATGAGTTTCTCAGCGATGGCGACATTGCCTCCACCGACAGCGGAATGTAGGACAGAGTTTCCTTTACTGTCTATTTTCTTTACATCAGCGTTATTTTTTAAGAGCAGATCAACCAGAATCTCATTGCCATATTTTGCAGCACAATGTAACACTGTTTGTCCTTCGCTATTTATGCCCTCTACGCTGGCTCCAGCTTTAATGAGTTTCTCAGCGATGGCAACATTACCTCCACTCACAGCAGAATGTAGGACAGAGTTTCTTTTACTGTCTACTTGCTTTACATCAGCGTTATTTTTTAACAGCAGATCAACCAGAATTTCATTGCCATCTTCTGCAGCAAGATGTAAAACTGTTCGTCCTTCTTTATCCTTTCCTTCCGCGTTGGCTCCTTCTTTAATCATATTCTCTGCAATTGCGAGTTCGCGGTTCTTGATAGCGTAAAAAACGGCAGAGGTTCCGTTACTGTCGACATACTTCAACAGGAGACGAATCAGTTTTTCATGACTATGTTCAAAGGCGAAATTTAAAACTGTTCGTCCTTCTTCATCTTTGCCCTCTATGCTGACCCCAGCTTGAACAAGTTTCTCGGCGATTGCTTCAGCGCGGCGCTTAACCGCGTAAAAAACAGCTGAGTTTCCTTTGTTGTCAAGGGCATTTAAATTTGCACCGAATCTTATTAATAAATCAAGCAGTTTTTCTTCGCCATATTCCGCTGCAAGATGAACAACTGTTTGCCCGTTTTTATCTCTCTCATCTACACTAGCACCAGCCTCCAGAAGTTTCTCTGCGGCGTCAATGTTACCTTGCTGGAAAGCATAATGTAAAGGAGTCTTTCCTTCATTGTCGTGATCGTTCACGTCCACGTCATGCATTAACAGCAGATTAAACACATTTTGCTTTGAATGAATCAGTGAACAGTGTAGCATTGTCCTAAACAAAAAATCTTTCGTATGAATTTTTTTACTAATTAGGGGGGCCACACATGGATGAACTGGTTTTTCTTTACTTTGTTTTTCTAAAACATGATCAAGAATTGCCACAGCGGATTGAACATTGGAATGTTCAAGTGCATAATCCAACGCAGTGTTCCCAATTTTATCTTTAGCATTCATGTCAACACCAGCATCGAGAAGTACAGTTATTGCTTCATGACTCGCAAAAGCTGCGGCTTTGTGTAGAATGTTTCTCCCTGCCTCGTCCACAGCATAGATGTCTTTCATTATCTTCAGCGAACTTTTCACCTTTCTCGCCTTTTCTCTTCCATAATATATCAAAAGAAAATCTCTTGCTCTTATTCTACCATATTTAAAAGCATAATCAAGAGCAGTTTTACCATATGCGTCAATGACATAACCATCCGCGTCATTTTGGATTAAATCTCTAACATTGCCTTCGTAGAACATGGCAGCGTAGTGCAGCGGAGTTCGATCTTCGCTGTCTTGGGCATTTATTGCCTTACTAAAATAATTATAAAGTTTAAAGCGATAAAAAAAAGATGAGTGTTCAAAGCTTTCGTGTCGATTAAAGTAGGGGGGATCGGTGGGTATGCACGCAAGGTGTAAAGGAGTCCTGCCATCACAATCACGGGTGTTAATACTGGACGGCGAGAGATCACAGAGATGTTTTACCAAAAACTCGTTTCTGACTGCTGCGGCATAGTGCAAAATCGTTCTTCCGTGTTCATCACTTGTACCTAATTCACGGTTATCTGGGAAATAATTCTTATCTTCAATAATTCTGTAACTGCTTTCTTGGGCTAATTCCATAAGCCTTGCTGTTTCGCCATCCAACTTTCTGATGCTTTCCAATGTCTCAAGGTACTTAAAAAAAAATTAATAATGGGAAAATGAAGGAGGAAATTTATTTTGTCACCATGCATGAATACTTATAGCACTCTTTCCGGACTTCATTCATTTCATTCACATTGTAGACAACAAATGATATATTATTAGACGATATAAATAATTTATTATGAATATGTATATTTTTTGGGAATTTCGTTCATTTAAATATAAAAAGCAAGCTATATTTACTTTTGAAGAAATTTTCGGAAGGGTTCTAGACGGGTGAAGACAATTAAAAGTTCCTTTTTAACTTAAGGAATTTTAATAATATTCTTGTACGTTTGCATGGTGGCATTGCACTGATGAAGGCCCAGGTTAACGGACCGAAAGCTTTGCAGTATTACACTCAATGATTATGAGCGTGAGTGAGCTTATTGAATACCGGGTTTAGTATATATTATTACCTGGATAAAATAACATTACCTCGTGTTCAGACATGCCTGCCGTTCGTTCACCTGGTTTTTCCGATTGCTTTTTATCCCTTTGTTGAAAACGAAAATGATTATCGATTAAAATAGTAACCACGTATTTGCAGCCCTCGCAAAGCTACATAATTGTGGTTATGTGTGGAAATTACACGAGGTTGATGATTGAACATGTGTTTTGAGCCATAGTTTATGGCAGAGACGATTGAAACGTGTTTTACCTCGCTTTGCGATTCGAGTTCATCTCCAAAGTCCCCTTTAGTTCAAATACGATTCTTAAGTTTTCGACTTCGCCATCAATCTTTCGGAGCTCTTCAACAAATCGTCTTTTAAGTTTTCCACATTTGTAATCGTCAAGTAATTTCTTTACACGCTTGGCTGAAAAGCAGTCAACATCGACAACAATGGATCCAGGGGTGAGTTTGCAGAGGCCAAAGACAGAATTGAACAATTTCTCTATAACAGGTTGGATTCTTTCTTTGCCGTAGAGTGCCCCCAGGGTGACGCCTGTAACCCCCAGTAAAACTGCCACGCCCGTGGTGCATCTGAATCTCAATCTTATTCCTTCATTTGTAACTTCTAAATCAGCATCGATGCCCCCGGCTGGTGCTTGTGGTGGTTCCAGGAGAGCGGCCATAACAGACTGGTTAAAAACAAAGAACGTTTAAAATAATACTTTACGATGCATGAAGCTGCAGTGTTTATGTTAATATATGTTAGGCCAAGGTTTTAAGTGGTGATTTGGTTGCGTCGAATCACTCGAATGCAATTTGAACAGTGAGATAAGAGATATGACAATTAATCAGGTTTATCTTCTCGCTATCTATTGTTGGAATTGCATTCGACAGGACAAAAAATCAGCCAGCAAATTCGATTCCCCAAGAAATAGCGTGAACAAAATAATTTGCGTTAGATAAGTTAGACAATTATAGTAGACAGTTATATCAACCATAATCAAAAACTATATAAATTCGATCAAAATATATTGCCAAATTTTTTTTGTTGTTTTTGCAAAGTTATCGTTTGCGTGACTAAAGTAGATTACCCCCCCCCATATAGCGGAAAAATCACGCTATGCGTGGGCCCCACGTGGGACGTCGGAAACTGTTGGATTTTCCCGAAGGTATGCCCGGTCTCCACGCAAAATGATGTGCGCACAAGTGTGTTAGTGCAACATAGCTTACCCGTGGAATGACTTGCGCGGGAGAGCTGTGCGCTCATGCTATACATGATTATGAATCTACCTCCTCCGCAGGCCCTTTTCGTGCAAATATGGTGGGCGGTGATATTTTGCGGGTAGGAATTTAAAATTTGAAAGCGAGCGACCAAGGGCCTGCCAAAGAACATGTCGAAAATCGGGAATATGTGTCGAAAATCGGGAATCCAAAAAAATCCCGTTGAAATTTCGTCCATCCTTTGTTCAGGGTAATTTGTCACGTAAGCTGGGTTTATTTTGGACTTACTGGCAAAAACATATTGTGGAAATATGGCAAACAAAGAAAGGAAGATATATACGCCGAGGTTATGCAATATATTTAAATTTAAAGCGTGCCAAGATTTACCAGTCAACCACATCCAACAGGACATATTTTATTTTTCGACTTGATTCGAATTACATTATGAAGAAATTTGATCCTCTGAAACATGAAACGGTATTTTTGGGCACATGTTGTGCAGTTGTGGACGTAGTTCGACAGCATTAATGGAAGCTGCGATAAACATTGTTGATAGCGATGCTGCAATAGCGATGTGGATATTCTCGATGTATCATAGATTTCTGGTATAAGTTATAATCGCTTTATACTCAAAAGACAACAAAGAACAATAAGATGCTATAGATGCGTTTGGCTGTGTCTAGTGGTATGGATGTGAAAAGGGAAACTACATCAAATGATATCATGATTTCGTCAGGTTCAAGGTTGAGGTCCTTAATATTATTTAGAAAGGCATTAGTGTTGTTAACCGTATGAGGTGATACTTTAACAAGAGGATGAAGAACCATAGCGAGATATTTGGATAACTCGTATATTGGGGAGCCTGGAAGAGACACGATAGGTCTTAGAGGGATGTTTTTTTTGTGTATTTTAGGTAGAAGAATATATATATATAATTATAGAGAAGAAATCGGTCACCAATAACGATAACATCAAATCATGGAACAGATACGTTGACGATGTCTTCGCAACGGTAAAGAAAGACAAGACTGACGATGCAAGACAACCAGCTTGCTTTTCTTGACGTTTTATTAACACGAACTAATGACGGAACAATAAACACACGGGTTTACCGCAAGAAAACACACACTGATCAAATCTTAAATTTTAACATTAACCACCCAACTCAGCACAAAATAAGCTGCATTAGGACGTTATTTAACCGAATAGACACACACTGTAACACAGAAGAAGCGAAACAAGCGGAACGCAAATACTTGTACTTAACTTTCAAAAAGAACAACTACCCGACAAATTTCATTAACAAAGTACTAACGAAACTGAGTAACAAACAAACTAATGAAATTAATGAATCACAAAGAGAACCTGAAGTATCAAATAAAACAATTACCTTACCATACATTAAGAGCACATCTGAAATGACTGCCAGACTACTTCGTCCTTTTAATATTGACGTAGCACATAAACCAGCACACAAGCTTAGGTCATGTTTTACAAAACACAAAGACAAAACGACAACCACCGAAACAAGAAATGCCATCTACTTGATTCCTTGCAAAGACTGTCCACAACGATACGTATGTCAAACCTCGAAGAAAATTGAAACCCGAATAACTGAACACAAGAACGCTATAAAACGACACGACCTTAAATCCCTACCCGAAGTACACACATACGACAACTCTCACACCTTCGCCTGGACAAAAACTGAACTACTGGGACGAGCACGAACAAAACACGCACGTGAATTCAAAGAAGCTTGGTTTAGTACAGACGACAATACTATTAACAGACATATTGACATTCCTGCAGTCTATCTGCAACTTAAGACAAAACGTAAGGACTCTATCAATAATCACATTAATGTAACTAATAATAACTTAAATCCACCCGCATCTGATACACAACAATCTAATCATTCCACAGCGACCATCCCTGACAACGAAATGCAGTCAACCATGACAACGCATCCCTCAACTACCACTCATATCAGATCAACTTTAAAACAACCAATCAGACGCTCTCAACGTATACAGAGTCTTAAAGAACAGCGCGAAACTTAAATATATAAAGCTATACACATGTAAATAATTTAGATATTCTGAAGAAGACTCGAAGTACCGAGTCGAAAGCTCAATAAAAAACAATTTTAAATCCGGAGAACATTCATTGATAAATATATATATATATATATATATAATATATATATATATATATATAATATATA